TTTGTTGGTACACTCGGTGTTGATTGGTTTGTTTTATCAAGAGGAAATGCTGGATATATTATAGCTGGTATTATTAAATTAATTATTTCATTGGGATGTTTTATTGGATGGCCGTTTCTTTTTGCTGGTAGATCGAAAAAATCACGTAAATATATTACTATTAGTAGTTTCATCAATGCTATTCTTACTACAGCTTCTGTTATATGGTGGCTTACAGATTGGATTCGTATTCTAGCTGATGTATTTTATGATGGCAACGGAGCACCTTTACAAAGATGGGGATATGATGATTATTATAACAGAATCCCATATCGCGTGTAAATGATTTGCATGTATAAAGAAAATTGTGATTAAATCTTTGTTTAAAGAGAAAAATGTGTGCTGTAATCGTTTTTTTTGTTTCTTTCATATTATTGAGCTTGATATATTTTATCAGAAGAAACTCTTCTATTTTTATTGCTTTGTAAATTTGATTGTTTCATAAAGGTAGAACTGATCATGTGACGAATAGTAAAAAGAATTAATAAAAAGTTTCGTCAAAACAAAATCTTTTTGTTTGTTTGTCTATAGTAGATTAAAAACTCATCTTGATTACAGATGGATATTAGGATGAGATTTATCAAAAAAAACTTTTTTTTTAAATAAATATTATTTAGCAAAATTTCATGGGAAGATACTGAGTATTGAAAAAGTTGTTATGACTGATCTATTGACAACAGGAGATTTATAGTTATCTTAACGTGCGTACTAAAATGAAAGTACTTTCGAAAACAATTGGACTCTCGAATTTCAAATTACTAGTCAACTGATTGATTTTTTTTAAAGAATACATGACTAATATATTGACTATTATGAAGACTTTTCAATTCTTGTCGAGTTTGTATTAGTATATTTATTATTTAATTATTCATAAAAGTTGAACGTTAGTAGCGTTACGCTACTACGTAGTTTTATTATATTTGTTATATTATCTTGAATAACAGAAAGTACAAGAAACCTATTTCTAGCTTTACACTTCTAGTAAACGTTTAATGGATCTTTTTGAAAAGTGGATAGAAGTTTTTTGTTGATGAAATATGGAATATTTGTATTTGTTTTACAAAAAACATTTTTTTGATCATTTTATTCTCGAATTCATTGAAAAACAGACCTATTTTATTTAAAGAGAAGCAAAAACAATACTTCAATCTATCTTGATGCTTAAAGTTGTGTGTAATCATATCAAAGAGAGCAGAGAATTAAATTTTACTAAATAAAGTAAGAATTCAAGTAACACTAACATATGTTTCAACAAAACTAATTGTAAAAAAGACGAACAATTTGTAAATATGACTATAAATGTATGTGATCATGGATGCATAACTTATGGAAATACAATACGAATGAATAAAAGTTGTTCGTCTTTTTTACAATTAGTTTTGTTGAAACATATGTTAGTG